AATTTGAATTAAACACAGTTCAATAAATTGAACTGTTTTTAAGAAAAATTCAAGTTTTCAAATTTAACATGCCTAACTTAGATACTAGAAACCTGGAGCGTTTTTCATCTAAAGCTTTCGTAAATAAGTCGGCTAATTGAAATTATGTATTTACAAAATACAATTCAATAGTTCCTTTTTCTACATAATCTTTAATAAAGTGATACCGGATATCCATATGTGTGTTGAACAGGATTACAAGATATTGCAATGGCACTTTTCGAATCACAATAAATGGGAATTTTATTAAAATTAAAACCGTAGTCTCTGAGCTGTGTTTGCATTCATAATACTTGAGAACAACAGCTAGCAACAGCTACATATTCTGCTTCAGCGGTAGAGATGGATACACAGTTTTGTTTTTTGGAAGCCCAACTTACGAGTTTATCTCCCAAAAATTGTAGATGACCCAAAGTATTCTTCCTGTCCAACATACAGCCTGCGTAATCTGCATCTGAGTATGCTTTTAGTTCAAAGCTAGTATCCTTGGGATACCAGAGTCCAAGATTAGAAGTCCCGTTTAGATAACGAAAAATGCGCTTAACGACACTTAAATGGGACTCCTTTGGATTAGCCTGATATCTGGCACAAAGATGTGTTGAAAACATAATATCCGGTCTACAAGACGTTAAATATATCAAAGAACCAATCATGCCTCTGTATGTTTTCTGATCTACAGCTTTTCCAGATTGATCAACATGTAGTTTTGTACCATGAGCCATAGGTGTTTTGCTAGATGAACAGTTTTCCATATTAAATTTCTTCAGGATATCAAAAATATATTTTGTTTGACAGATAAAAATTCCTGAAGATAATTGTTTGACTTGAAGTCCTAAAAAGAAGTTCATCTCACCCATCATACTCATTTTAAAACGAGAAACCATTAAGGCAGAAAAGTTTTTGCAGTATTTTGGGTTCGTAGATCCAAATATTATATCATCTACATAAATTTGTATCAAAATAATATCTGACTTCTCCTTTTTAATAAAGAGGGTTGTGTCAATGTTACCTTTCAAGAAACCTGATTTTACTAGAAATTCTGATAAGATATCATACCAGGCTCTCGGTTGTTTAAGACCGTATAAAACTCTATCAAGGATATATACGTGATTCGGCTTTGACTGATCCACAAAACCCTCCGGTTGAGCAACATAAACTTCTTACTTGAGAAGATCATAAAGAAATGTCGTCTTGATGTCCATCTGGTACACAGTGAAATTCTTGTGTGCAGCGTACGTCAGATACATCCTTATAGCTTCAATCCATGCTACCGGGGCAAAGGTTTCATCATAGTCAGCACCTTCTTACTGATTGTATCCTTTTGCGACAAGCCGGACCTTATTTTTGACAACAATGCCATCTTCATCCTTTTTATTCTTGAAAACCCACTTTGTACCGATGATCGTTTTATTGTTGGGACGCGGAACCAATCTCCAGACCTTTAGTGCTTCAAACTGATTCAGCTCCTCTTGCATCACAATTATCCAGTCCGGATCTGCTAAGGCTTCAGACACCTTAGTTGGTTCAATATTACTCAGGAAAGTGGAATAAAGACACTCATTAGCTGTAGCAGACCGAGTACGAATAGATGCAGATGGATCACCAATAATTTGATGTATTGGATGATTCCTGGTCCACTTTTTGCTATGAGGTAGGGGAATATAAGAACTTTGATCTGAATTTTGATTAATGTAAGCATTTGGGGAATTATGAATAATAGGTTCAGGTGAAGGTTCAATGTTTGGAACAGAAGTAGGCTGAATATCTGACTGAGATAAGGTATTTTCATCTTGAACGACCGACACCTCTGGAAAATCAGTATTTAAACCCTCTTCACACTGAACTTGACAATTAGGAGTTTCCATCTGAATTTCTTCATCAACTTCCTCTGATTCTTCTTCAGTTTCAGTTACTGGAACATCAGCAGATGGACCAGATAACTGTTGTTCGATTTGAGTATTCCTGGACAGATCATTGGACTTATTAGATTTATTATCAAAATATTCATCGTAAAAATTCTCAAATAATGAATCTAAATCAGAAAGATCAGAATTCGAAGATTCAATTTTATCTACTTTCCACGAAGTGTTAAATATCATCCCGGGTCCTGAACCATTTTGTTCAGAAGCCACATCAATTACTTCATCGAATGAAATATTGACGCTCTCATTGATGATTTTCGTCCTTTTATTGTAGACTCTGTCTGCAGCAGACGTTTTTAAGTAGCCTATGAATACAGCTTCATCAGCCTTCGCAGCGAACTTACCTCTGTCCTCTTTGTCATTTAAGATAAAACACCTACAACCAAATACTCGAAATAATTTGTTATTAGGTATTCTTTTATTTATGATTTCGTAAGAAGTTTTACCAAACCTTTTATGTACAAGAGATCGGTTCTGAGTAAAACATGCAGTCGCCACTGCTTCAGCCCAAGGAAATAATGGAAGCTTAGAACAAGTTAGGAGTGTACGCGCCGCTTCCACCAATGTTCTATTTTTCCGTTCAACGACACCCTTATCACATGTGATAATACTTGTGAGGGAGCTTAGTGGTGTAAGGGCGACTTGGCCCGCAACCAAGATCGCATCGAAAATCGCCCGCATCTCTTATTTAGTATCACATCTGTATCATATGTGATGGAATATTAGTATCAAATGTGATTGTTTATAGTAAAAGGGTGTTCTCGCATTCTCGTAAAATGAAGATGTTCTCGTTTAAACCCTTCCCTTCCCTATATAAAATGAAGGTGTTCTTGTTGGGGGCCCAGGACCCCCAACAAAATAAGTTGTAGAAAGCCCATAATTTTTTTACTTATAATTTTTAACTTAATATAATTGGGCCCCCAATAATATAGTTATGAAGGCCCTCACTACCATTAGTCCATTTTAGCCTTCCATTTCTTCACACAGTTCACGCTTTACAACTTCACGCTCTTCACACACACGCACACGGTGACCGACTGACCGACATATCGGCCATTGCTACCTCCATCCTCTGCTCGCCAGCACTCAGCCGGTCGGCCCAACGGCCATCGCTGCTGCTTCTTCACTTCCTGAGTTCCTGTCTTCCTCCTTCCCTCTTCCGATCTTCATCTTCATCGCTGCTTTTGCTTCTTCTTCCTTCCTGGACAATGGACATTAAAGCAACTCCAATTTGGGTAAAAATTCTGATTTCCAAATTCCAGTATTTAATTTTTAATGACTTTGATTTTGTTGTTTGCTTCACAATTGGTGATTTGGTAAATGCTTTATGTTAGGTTAATTTTACAATTTTATAAACAAATGGAAATGTCAGGTTAATTTTGCAATTTTGTAGGCAAATGGAAATGTTAGGTTAATTTTGCAATTTTGTAGGCAAATGGAAATGTTACTATTGATAAAGATAAACCATTGATTTTTATCTTGTTATTGTTATTGGTGGAAAAAATGGAAAGATTTTTTAAAAAGAAAGCATCAACACCTGAATCGAGCTCTGCTCTTTCGATGCCCTATGAAATTGATTTGAACGATCTTCCTTGGGATCCAACCGATAGGAAAAAGATTTTGGAATATCATCCTAATCAAAGGGATGAAATAAGGAGAAAATATTTGCTTAGAGGACCTTGTCAACCACGAGGTCATGCATTTCCAAAAAAAAAATTCGAGAGTAAAGGAAGACGTTTTTGTCCGGCTTGGTTTGATCAATACGCTAATTGGTTGGAGTATAGTGTAAAAATAGATATAGCTTTTTGTTTGTGTTGTTATTTGTTTATAGATCATTACGTAGGACAATGTGGGAGTGATGCTTTTGTAACAGATGACTTTAATAGTTAAAATAAAACGGAAGACTTGGTCTTCATGTCGGCGACATTTATAGTTTTCACAATAGAGCACTTAAGAAAAGTGAGGATCTAATGAGCCAAGATCGATCTATTGCTGTTGCCTTTCATAAGCAAACTGAGAAGGAGAAGAATGAGCACGGAATACGATTAAATGCTTCAATTAAGGCCTGTAGGTTCTTGTTGAAGAATGCATTTCCCTTTCGTGGTCATGATGAATCTGAAATGTCTATTTCTAAAGGCATGTTCTTAGAAACATTTGCCTTAATTGGTGATTGCAATGAGGATATAGTAAAGTTATATTAAAAAATGCTCCAAAGAATAATCAAATGGTGTCTCAAAGTATTCAAAAAGATATTGTTGCTTGTTTTGCAAATCAAATACTCAAATCCATTCATAAAGAAGTTGGTGATGAGGTGTTCTCATTGCTAGTTGATGAGTCTAGTGACCTTTCTAAGAAGGAACAAATGCAATGGTTTTACGATATGTTGATGCACGTGGTATTGTTAAGGAGAGATTTTTTGGTATTGTTCATGTGACAGGGACATCTTCTTCAATTCTTAAATATGCCATTGATACTTTATTTGTTGAACATGGATTGAGTTTGAAACATGTTAGAGGGCAAGGTTATGACGGAGGAAGCAATATGCGCGGTGAGTTCAATGGATTAAAGGCCTTGATCTTGAATGAAAATAGCTTGGCATATTATATCCATTCTTTTGCTTACCAACTGCAATTAGTTGTTGAGGCGGTTGCAAATAAACATGACGGAGTTGAGAACTTTTTTAATATATTAGGAATGGTGATTAATGTGGTGAATGCTTTTTGCAAGCGTAAAGACGTGCTTCGACAAAGTTACAAAGAGAGAGTGCAAGAAGCAATTGGTAAGTGTGAAATTGAAACTGGAATAGGAAAATACCAAGAGCTTTCGCTTATACGAGCCGGAGATACACGATGGGGTTCTCATTACAAAACCATTTTGAGCTTGATTGCTTTGTTTCTGAATGTTGTTAAAGTGCTCCAGTATGTTGAAGAGGATGGGGATAATGGTTTTAGTTGCACTCAAGCAACTGGTATTTTAGCATATTTGAAGACAATTGATTTCGGATTTATTTGCATTTGATGTCACATATTTTAGAGGTCACAGACTTGTTGTCACGAGATCTTCAAAAAAAAGGATCAAGATATTTTGGAAGCGGGTTTCATTGATAAGAGGAACCAAACAACTATTGCAACAATTTAGAGAAACTGGTTTTGATCCACTTTTGAAGAAAATGTATTCTTTTTGTGAAGCAAATGGTATTAAAGCTTTTGGATATGGAAGACCGTTATTCAAAAAACAGAAGACAAAGGACCAACATCACAAATCGTCATTATTACAAGTTTGATATTTTCAATACTGTTGTGAACATGCAAATTCAAGAGTTTGGGGATTGATTTAGTGAGGTAAGAACGGATCGATTTAGTGAGGTAAGAACTGAATTGCTTAAAAATATAGCAGCTTTGAGTCCATGTGATTCATTTTCGCAGTTCAATGTATCGGATTTATTGAAGTTGAGTGAGTTGTATCCTCAAGATTTTAGTCATATGGAAAGGATCGCTCTTGAGAAACAACTTAACATGTACTATTTGATTGTGGGTCAAGATGAAAGATTTGCCGATTTGAGTGGTATTGCCGAGCTCGCTAGATTGCTAGCGGAAACAAAAAAAAAAACATAAAACTTATCCTCTAGTATATCGGTTATTGAAGTTAGGTTTGTGTTTTCCAGTTGCTACCGCAATAGTCAAAAGATGTTTTTCTGCTATGAAGATTGTGAAGTCAGATTTGCGCAACAAAATCGGTGATGAATTTTTGAATGCTGCAATGATATGTACTATAGAAAAAGAAGCACTTCTCACAATTTTAAATGATGATGTAATTACTCAATTCCAAAAGATGAATAGTCGTAGGGCACAGTTGTAAGAGGTAACTTTTTATCATTTTTGTATGAAATTGAAGTTAATTATTTTTTTATCTTATGTCATGCCCCCTACAATATATTTTTCTGCATCTGCCACTGTCACTGTATATATATAGGGAAGAGTTCAAACGAGAACACCTTCATTTTATGAGAATGCGAGAACACCCTTTTACTATAGACAATCACATTTGATACTAATATTCCATCACATATGATACACATGTGATACTAAATCAGAGACGCAGGCGATTTTCAATACAATCTTGGTTGCGGGCCAAGTCGCCCTTACACCACTGAGCTCCCTCACAAGTATTATCACATGAGATAAGGGTGTTGTTGATATGATACTATAATCCATTAAGACCATCACATGTGATGCAAAATCATAGACACATACAACCTTTGGTGCGACCTAAGTCATATAACACGTCGTCCACACATTAAAGGGTCCCCTCACGCGTATTATCACATGTGATAAGGGTGTTCTCGCATTTTCGTAAAATGAAGATATTCTCGTTTGAACCTCCACCTATATATATATATATACATATATATATATGTCTTCATTTATGAACCAGGTCCCAAACTTGTCTCCGACTCTCACCTCGCTCCCAACCCAAACATACATACATACATACATACATACATACATACATACATACATACATACATACATACATACATACATACATACATACATACATACATACATANACATACATACATACATACATACATACATACATACATACATACATACATACATACATACATACATACATACATACATACATACATACATACATACATATAGGGGAGAGATCAAATGCAAAACAAGCCATTTGTTTGTATAAATGGTTTTGTTTGCATTTGATCCCTCCTCTTATATATATATACTAGGTTCGATACCGTGTATTACACGACGTAATTTGAAAAAATTAAATCATGTCAGAAACTTATCCTATAGATATGAATGATCATCGAAAGTACGATGCTACTTTAACCTTGTACTCTTGAAATAACTCTGAAGTATAACTCTTCATACTTGAATTTAGAAATGAAACTATATCAATAATTAGTTAAAATGAAGTTAACCCTATAATTAAATTAGATTTAGAAATGAAACTATATCAGTAAATTAAATTTAAACTTAAAAGTAGTTTAGAATGACTATTCAGACTTGTACTCTTGAAATAACTCTGAACTATAAATTTGTTGAATGACTTCAAACTTGTACTCTTGATATAACTCTGAAGTAAAACTCTTTAGACTTTAGACTCTGTATAGGCAAGCCAAAAGATCTGCATGCACTATGTAGAGGCTCTGTATGCACTATGCAAAGGCTCTGCATGGTGCTCCGTCTGAAAAAGAAGGCTTCAGAATTCGGGTGAACTAACTCGAAGAATGGATCTTCAGAATTGCAATATGGAAATAACTTTGAAGTAAAACTCTAAAGAATGACTCTTCAGACTTGTACTCTTGAAATAAATCTGAAGTATAAAATTAATCACACTAAATCAGAGTTCAAACTTCTAAGTCTAAAAAAAATACTTCAGAGTTCAGACTTTAGAATTTGGGTGAGCTAACTCTGAAGAATGACTCTTCAGACTTGTAGAAGACTTTAGAGTTCAGACTTCTAAGTCTGAAACAGAAGACTTCAGAGTTCAGACTCCAAAGTTAGGATGAGCTAAGTCTGTTTAAGCCTGAAAAAACAAACTTCAGAGTTCGGGTGAGCTAACTCTTTAGAATGACTCTTCATACTTGTACTCTTGAAATAACTTTGAAATATAACTCTGAAGAATGACTTCATACTTGTACTATTGAAATAACTCTGAAGTATAACTCTGAAGAATGACTTTAGACTTGTACTATTGAAATAACTCTTGTTGTTCCCAAAATCCATCTTCAATCTTCTATCAAGAAACAATGGCAGAAACTAAAATCTAACAATCAAGAACACATGAGAGAGTTGAGAGAAAAAGTCAAATTCCCAAATTAGTCAAACTTCTATTACGTAATCAGATATTACAATGAAAGAATCCTACAAAATTTACACTAAAACAAGACTATTTATAAGGTCAAACTACTACCCTTGAAAGTCAAAGTCAAACAAACTAGAAAAGTCAAACACGATGATTTTACAACAATTATAGACAAAATTATCTTTTCAAGACGAATACAATTTATACTGAAATTCAATCCTAACATTCTCCTCCTTTGTATTCAGGCTTGAAAGAATTTGCGCGCTTTGAGTCTTGGTTGAACTTTGTTGCTTTAAGCACTCTATGTCTTTTTCAAAACATTACTTTGTATACACTAACTATTTTTTTTTGTAATAATCTTTATTTCAAAACATTATTTCAAAACCAAAATAATATTTATCAGCAAACTGTTGTAAAATTGATCTTCACATTCAACAACTCTCAGACTTTGTAGCATCGGAATAATCTTTTGTAATAATCTCCAGTTGCACTCCTTTTGAGTCTTTTGCCGATCTTTGTTGTTACTCCTCCTTGATCTTTATAATAAATTCCCCTTATAACGTTCGAAAATGAACATTCCCCCTTATAACGTTCGGAATTGAACATTTCATTCATTATTACATACTCCCCCTTATGATGAAATGAGAATCATTACATCATACACAAGAATGAATGAAATCTTCCGTAAAAACCGTCAATTCATGAAATTGTAAGTAGATCTTTTCAAATCCACTTTCATAATCTTTTCAGATTAAGGGAATGGGAATGTAACAACCAATTTCAACGTACGAAATTGTTTTCAATCTTATAAAAAGATTGGCCTATGAGTATAACAAATATACTTAGTACAAAGGATGTACTGTATATATGAGACCTTTTGAGGTTCATCTCACCAGGACTTCCATTTAATCATCGATAGCTGAATAATAGCATATCTATGAATGTTTCGGCAATATAACATATAAAATGCAAAACCTGTGTAGTGTAGAAAGATAAAGCAACATATGCTTCTGTTTAGGGTCAAAGTGATAAACCGTGTAGACTACACAAATTTATCAGACTCAATACGTGATAAAAAAGACTTGAAGGGGGGACATATATCCTTCTGATTCAATATCAACTTTCTCCGAATGAGAAATTGATAGATTGTGAGCTGTGTGCCCCAAGTGTTATTGTAACACTTATCTGTTAAGAGATAAATGAGTAGTTGGTGGGGTTGTTACAAGAATTGGCTCGGGCTTTACCTTTTTCAATATTAATCTCGAAAAATTGAGAACTAATAGATTATGTGGTATGCCCGATAATTTGAAGTTTGGAACAGGATTCTTATGTTCTTTTAATCCTGACACAACTTTCATCAATTCTTTTAGCTCACAACAACTACCCCTCTCTTTTTCATTTTAAACTCTGTACACAAACCCTTTTTGAGTTTAAGCTCACCCAGATATGGTTGTCCTCTCGGGTAGGTTTGTCGGTTCTAACATTCAATAGAGATATTTCTGTTAAGCACTCAGTCCCTCCTAAATTACTGTAAGCTCAGTTTATCACAATAGTTGATCAAAAATATTATTGCAAATAAAGCACAATGATTATATAAAAATTGATCAAGATATAACTTTGAAGCACAATCAAATTAGGAGTGATATGCAAAATCAAATTATTCAGTATATGAGAGAAACGAATGAAGATCTGTAAGAACAAGTTTACAGATTCTGGTTTTCAAAGAATTAATGAATGTATATCAATCAAAGTACAAAAAAAATCAGAACAAAACAAACTTTGATTACTAATGAGCGTATTATCACCGAAAATGATTTTATATAAGAGACGTGATAATAATACTTAGAAGAATAGCTGAAACAGGTATTGGAGTTATGTTCGATGAGAAATTACACAAGTAAAATCTCAGAAAATACCTGATCAGAGAATGTACTCGTTTTCAAAAAAAATATTTCACTTTCCGAAAGCATTTATTGAAATTTCTAGAGACTCTCCCTAGAAAATAGATTTAAGAAATGTTTCGATTCAGCTCAAAATAAAAAAAATGGAAACATTTTTAGCACGGGTCTTGAACTGAGTATTCAGAAACCAAATTCAGTTAAGCAGGGGTCCTGAACTGTGTTGTTCTGAAGCCTTTTTTTGGAACAGATTACAACTCCCCTGCATTAGTGCATCAATGATATGATATTCTGATTAGCGCAAATTTGACACACCTGCAAAATAAGATCAAACAGATTTTGGTAACCAAACAAACTTGGGTCCTGTTTGGTTAGTATCGGGCTGGGGTATGTTGTAACTTCCAAACCATCTATTTCTATTAGATGTTTTCTTTTTAGCATTTTTAGCAGGATGATCATATACAAAATATGATCCATACGAGTTATTGTAATCATACCTGTTCTTACCTATCCAATCCTTCTGATATCTGTTGTCTGTACTCCATCTATTGTATGTCTTCTTGTTCACAAAATCTGTTCGCATGTGGAGCACATGATTCTTCTCTTGCTAAGATGAATCAAATCAGTATTAGATCTTACAAAACAAGGAAGATGATTAGTAACAACAGGGGTACAGGATGAAACAGATTCAGATTTATTGACCCAAATGCTTTTAACCTTAGAAGAGTAATTGGATGATCCGATGACATACCCTTGATAATACTGATTTAAAGAACGAGAATAGTTCTTAGAAACAGTTGATTTAGGGCTGCTTGAATAACTGTTTGATTTGGAACAGTCATAGAAGCTAGTTTTACACTGAGAAGAAGAACCAATTG